AGCACCCCCTCACCGTCCAGGGCGCCCAGTCTCCAAGGCCCTCACCCCATCACTGCCCTGCAGTCAGGGCACCAAGTCTCCACGACCAGCACCCCTTCACCATTCAGGGCACTCAGTCTCCAAGGCCCTTACCCCATTACCGCCCTGCAGTCAGGGCACCAAGTCTCCACGACCAGCACCCCATCACCATCCAGGGTGCCCAGTCTCCATGGCCCTCACCCCATCACCATCCTGCGGCCAGAGAGCCCAGTCTCCACGGCCCTCACCCCATCACCATCCAGGGCGCCCAGTCTCTGTGGCCAGCACTCAATCACCATACTGCGGCCAGGGCGCCCAGTCTCCACGGCCCTCACCCCATCACTGTCCAGGGAGCCCAGTCTCCACAGCCCTCACCCCATCACTGTCCAGGGAGCCCAGTCTCCACAGCCCTTACCCCATCACCATCCAGACTGCCCAGTCTCCACGGCCCTCACCCCATCACCGTTCAGGGCGCCCAGTCTCCACGGCCCTCACCCCATCACTGTCCAGGGTGCCCAATCTCTGCAGCCCTCACCCCATCACCATTCAGGGTGCCTCATTCTAACACTAATGCTTCCCACTCCTGTGGGAAGAAACGGGCCTCTCAGTCCACGCCTGTTTTTCACGCACATCCAAGTTCACCAAAACATTCAACAGTTCCAATCCAGTTATGTGGATGGTTCTAACTGTATCCAACACTTATCTTTTAATCCCCATTTCTACTCGGGAAGTAGGAAGACAATGCTAAGACTGGCAAGTTGCCATCACCATTTGAAGGCAAGTATTAGAAAATGTTGAGTCACTCACCGGTGGGCACACACGTTATTAAGGTGAAGGCCGTATTTTTCTTCAGCAGATAACCCATCCATTAACAAGTAGAAAATGAGAAAATTGCTCTGGCCAAGAGGCTGTGAGATGAGTCTGGATTTCTCTAGCATATACGTATAAATTCTGGCTGGTTAAGAAAAAAGAAGGGATTCTGTTAAATGGCATTATTAGTTTTATTTCCATAAATTTATATATATTAGTTGCAAGAGATAATAATATGGCTTCCTTTCCAACAAAGACATTTCTAGAATAATAAATTGACTTTATTTTCTAAAGCAGTTTTAGGTTTTCCAGAAAAATAAAACAGAAGATACCAAGTTCCAGCCCATCCCTTTCTCCCCTACTCCTAACCCACTCCTTTTTCTCTATTATTAACACATTTTATTAGCATGGTACATTTGTTAAAGTTGCTGAACCGATATTGATGCATTTCTTTTAGTTAAGTAACATTTATAGTTCACATTAGTATTTACTCTTTGTGCTGTATGTTTCTGTGGGTTTCCAGAACGTGCACAGACCTGCTGTTGCAGTGCCCTGCAGAATAGCTTCCCCGCCCTAAACGCTGAACCCCTGTGCTCCACGCGCTCTGCCTGCCCTCTGCCCTGGGCCCCGGCACCCAGTGCTCTTTTTGCTGTCTCTGTAGTTTTGAGTTCTCCAGAAGGTCACACAGTTGAAATCATACATGGATGCAGCCCCCTTAGCCTGGCTTCTTTCATTTACTCATACGGATGTGAGGTTCTGTCCCGGTTCCTCGTCTTATTAGCTCATTGTCTATCAGTGAATGATGTCCCAGGTGTAACTGCACCACAGCTTGTTTATCCATTCACCTCTTAAAGGGGGTGCTGTTTGCTTCCAATTCCTGCAGTTATGAATGCAGCTGCTATAAACACTGATGTCAAATTTTGGGTGGACCTTAAGTTTTCAGTTCATCTGGGTAAATACAAATGAGCACGATGCTTGTCTATGGTGAGACTTTGCAGAAAGTGCCAGATTGGCTTCCATGGTGGCTCTATCATTTTCCATTCCTTGGGCAGTGAACAGCTGTCCCTGCTGCCCGCCATCCTCCCGGACTTAGTGCAGTCAGGGTTCTGGATTTCAGCCATTCTGATAAGTGTGCAGCAGTGTCTAATGTTTAGTTTGAAGCATAATGACATTTGCTGTTAAACACCTTCTCACATGGCTCCTTGCCACCTCTCTATCTTCTTTGATGCGAGGTCTATATGCATATTTTGTCCTTGTTTGTTTTCTTATTGAGTGTTTCGAGTTCACTGTGTATTTTGGATAGAAGCCCCTTACAGATACATGTTTTCTGAATATCTTTTCCCTGCCTGTGCCTGTTATTTCATTCTCTTAGCAATGTCTTTCACAGAGTAGAAATTTTAAATTTTAAAAAGGTCCAGTTTAACAACTATTACTTTCACAGATTATGCCTTTGGTATTGTATCTAAAAAATCAATACCAAATTCAAGATCACCTAGAATTTTTCCCATGTCATCTTTTGAAATATTTATATATTTGTATTTGCCTTGAGGTTTTATGGTAAATTTTTAATTAATTTCCATGAAATGTCTGTGTCTGGATTCATTTATTTTCACATAGAGTTTCACGGTCATTCCATTATAGTGTTTTAAAGATTATCCTTTCCCCATTGAATTTTCTTTGTTCTTCTGACTGTGTTTATGTGGGTCAATTTCCTAGTGTCTGTTCTGCTCTCTTGATTCACTTGACTGTCACTTCACCAACACCACACTGCCGTCATCTCTGTAGCTTCATGGTAAGGCTTGGAGTTGGGTAGAGTCAGTCCTTAACTCTGCTCTCCTTTGTTGTATGGGCTGTTCTGGAAATTTACCTCCACAGGTAAAATTCAGCATCACTTTCTTGTTATTCACACAGTAAATCTTGGGATTTTGACTAGGATTCTGTTAATTCTATAGATCAATTGGAAATAAACTCATATCTTCACAATATTGAGCCTTGCTATCCATGAATATAGATAAATCTCCATTAATTTAAATTTTATTTAATTTCTTTCATCAAAGAGTTTGGTTTTCCTTGTATGGATTTTGTACATATTTTGTTAGTTATATACTTAAGCATCTCACTTTTTTGAAACTAATATAAATGATGTTATGTTTTCAATTCAAATTTTAATTATTCATTGCCAGTATATAGAGAAGTGAATGACTTGTATATACTAACCTTGTATTGTGCAAACTTCCTATAATCACATATTGGTTCTGGAAGCATTTTTGTCAGATCTTTTGGATTTTCTTCATGACAATCATATTAACTGCAAAAAATGTTTGTTTCTTCCAAATCTGTCTACAGTTATTTTTTTAAAAAATAATTTTCTTGTGTGTTTATATGAGCTAGGACTTTCATATGAGGTTGAAAATAAATAGTGAGAAGAGATGATTTTTTTCCTTGTCCCATAGCCAGTATCAAATTTTGATGCACAGGTACAATCGGAAATAAGACTTGCTCTTACCTATAACAAAAGTATCAAAGAAGTTTTAAATTTTTCTCTGTTAATGCCTCATAGTTTTTTTTTTTTTGAGACAGAGCCTCAAGCTGTCCCCCTGGGTAGAGTGCCATGGCTTCACAGCTCATAGCAACCTCCAACTCCTGGGCTCAAGCGAATCTCCTGCCTCAGCCTCCCAAGTAGTTGGGACCACAGGCACCCGCCACAACGCCCAGCTATTTTTGGTTGCAGCTGTCATTGTTTGGCGGGTCCGGGCTGGATTCAAACCCGCCACCTTAGGTGTATGTGGCTGGCGCCTTAGCCACTTGAGCCACAGGAGCCGAGCCAATGCCTCACAGTTTTAAAGTTCCAGCCACGTTGCTATGGTATAGATCATTGCTTATAAAAGGGTTCGGCTGTGGTCTCTGACAGGTGTCACCAGCAACCAGGTCAGAACTATGTATGCTGTACCATCAAGACCCTGGGATACAGACAATAATCTCTCACTTCTGGGCACATTATAAGAAACCCACTGCAGCAAAGGAGAGTATAACTTCAATTTATGCAGACAAAATTTAATAAATAAAATTTAGTTTATGAAAGTTTCAAGGCCTACATTGAAATTATAAAAATGAACTAAATGATGGATTATAACATAGGAATGGATAATGACACAGATATTTCGATGGTTAAGTTTATAACCCACTCAGGGAGTGAAGTGGGTGATGCGTCTGCAAAGCAATGCCTCCCTGTGAAAAGTGTTTATTCATCTTACCATTTGCCCACATCTTGACGTGTACAGTAAAAAGACTCACAGCTAATGTTTATTATTTTGATTCTCTGTTTTTAAAATATCAGAGATGAAAACAAAATATAATGCACATCACAAATCTATGGCATGAGAATTCATTTCGCTTGATTCTGGGAAGATGGCCAACTGGTAGCAGCCCTGGTCAGAGGCTCCTGAGCAAAGGAAGAAAAACTGGTTGGAATCAGAATCTATAAAGCCAAAGATGGGGAGCTGAGCCCAGAAAGAAGTTCAGCAAGCTGTAAATCCAAGGAAGATCATTTAAGAACACAAAATACAGGTACAAAGTGGGCCCCAGAACTGCTTGCTAGAGCCACCCACCTCCTGTGGGTGGCGGGTGGCGGCAGAGAAGTCCCCTGCACCGGGAAGGCACAGAACAAGTTGGTAGAGCCTTGCGCACCCCGCGGGTGGCAGCAGAGGATTCCCCCACTCTGGGAGAGCCCAGAACTGCTTACTAGAGCTGCGCACCCCACGGGTGGCAGAGGAGACCCTCGCTCCAGGGCTCTGGGCAGGTCCAGAAATGCTTGCTAGAGCTGCAGCCTCCCGTGGGCAGCTGGTGGCCGGAGTGGAGTTCCCCTGCTCCGGGCAGCCACAAAAGTACTTTCTAGAGCCTTGCGCACCCCCTCGAGTGGCAGCGGACGAGTCCCCCACTCTGGGAGGGCCCTGAACTGCTTGCTAGAGCTGCGCACCCATGGACAGCAGAGTAGATCCCTGCTCCAGGGCTCTGGGTGGGCACAGAACTGTGTGCTAGAGCCGCATGCTTCCTGCAGGTGACGGGTGGCCGTAGAAGACTTCCCCTGCTCCAGGCAGCCACAGAACCAATTGCTAGAGCCTTGCGCACCCCCGCGGGTGGTGGCAGACCAGTCCCCCACTCTGGGAGGGCCCAGAACTGCTTGCTAGAGCCGCGCGCCCCACGGGTGGCAGAGTAGATCCCTGCTCCAGGGCTCTGGGTGGGCGCAGAACTGCTTGCTAGAGCTGCACACCTCCTGCGGGTGGTGGGTGGCCGCAAAGGACTTCCTCTGCTCTGGGAGGCACAGAACTACTTGCTAGAGCCTTGCGCACCCCACAGGTGGTGGCAGAGGAGTCCTCCACTCTGGGAGGACCCAGAACTGCTTGCTAGAGCTGCATACCTCCTGTAGACAGCTGGTGGACACAGAGGAGTCCCCTGCTTCAGGCAGGCACAGAACTACTTACTAGAGCCACACGCGCCCCACGAGCAGTGGCAAAGGAGTCCCCCACTTGCAGCGGGCCCAGACCTGCTTGCTAGAGTCGCAAGCCTCACAGGCGGCAGAGGAGATCCCTGCCCCAGGCTCCTGCTCTGGGCAGGCCCAGAACTGCTTGCTAGTCCTACGGGCGTCCTGCGGGCAGTGGCAGAGGAGTCCTCCATTCCAGTCCTCCATTCCAGCTGTTTCCATTCCAGAAAACAGCTTTCTAGAGACATACACACCCCACAGGGGCCAGCGGAGGAGTTCCCCGCTCCAGGCACCTGTGCTGGGTGGGCCCAGAACTGCTTGCTAGAGCCACGCATGCCCTGCAGGAGGCAGTGGAGGAGTCTAGCACTCTGGGAAGGCCCAGAACTGTTTGTTAGAGCTACATGCATCCCACAGACAGGGGTGGAGGAGTTCCCCACTCCGAGCTCCCACACTGAGAGGGCATAGATCGGCTTGCTAGTGCTACACACACTAGGCAACGGTGAAGGAGTCCTCTGCTCCCCCCCTAGTTACTCTGGTGGGGCTGAACTAAGACTGATCTGGTCACTCGTGTACCCTACACTACCGCTGCCATTCCCCCACCCCCGGCTGCTCCAGGGTGCTGAACTAGGACTGATCTGGCTACTGCCAGTCTCCTACCCCCTGGT